ATAAATAAATAAATAAATAAATAAATAAATAAATAAATAAATAAATAAATAAATAAATAAATAATCAATCCATCCAAATAGAAACTCCTTTAACTTTTGCTGAGTACTTACATGCTATTGAACATGTAAACAGCCAAGAAAATATGAGCAATAACCAGAAGAACACCAGTCAACAGAAAAAGGCTGGCATGGACTTTCTGTTTTCTGTCTTGTCATGTGATATCCAATGCTACTTTTAGACCTGGTCAGCAAGAAAGCCACTACACTATCAGGTGCGGTGTCTTCGGCTGCTTAGGGTAGTTTTGTTTTTGTTTGTTTGTTTATGTCAACTTAATATAAGTTGAACAGAAGGAAATTTCAATTGAGAAAATGCCTACATCAGACTGGGCCGGCAGGCAAGTCTGTCGAAGAGTTTTCTTACCTGATAACTGATGTGAGAGGGTCCAGCCCACTGTGGGTGGTGCCAGCCCCAGGCAGCTGTACAAGATAGCAAACTGCAAAGCCATGTGGAGTACCAAGCATGCACATAGTACAAATACATACATACATACAAACATACTGGTATTTACATACATACATACCTAAACACATATAGGTACTTATAAACATACCTAATATGTCCAACGATTTAAAACTGTAAGCAAAACTTTACATGGGAAAGGGAAGTGTTTTTTAATAATTCGTTCTCCCTTTCCACCATGTTAGTCCTGGGGCAAGCACTTTTACCCACTGAGCCGTTTCACTGCCCAAGACAGTTTGTTTTTGATTTTTAAAGACTTGACTGTAACTTCAAAAGATGTACGTAAAATAAAATGAGTAACTGAAAGCAATTAAGGACTGAATAATGAAAGAGACCAATGACTTGGAGACAGCAATAGAAAAGTATGAAAACTGAAGCATAAAAAGAAGAAATATCAACAAAAAGAAAAAGACTGGCAGAGAAGAAGGAACTGAAGCAGCAAACTTGAAATACGAGCACACAAATATTAACTACATAAATGGCAACTGGGAAAGATACAAAAAATAAAATAAGTAAATAAATAAAGACATATGACCAAAAACTGTCCAGACTTCATGAGAACTATGATCCCATAAATCCAAGAAGCTCAACAAACCTCAAGCAGAGTTACAGAAACAAAACCACACCAAAGCATGTTACAGTCATGAAGACAAAGGCCATCAAAGCAAAAAAGCATCAGTATAGAGAACAAAAACAAGAATAAGCTAGAAGAGGGCTGGAGGGATGGCTCAAAGGTTAGGAGTACTGTTCTTCCAGAAGTCCTGAGCTCAATTCCCAGCAACTGCATGGTGGCTCACAACCATCCGTAATGAGATCTGGTGCCCTCTTCTGGCCAGTAGGCATACATGCAGGCAGAACACTGTATACATATAAATAAGTACAATCTTATTTAAAAAAAAAAAAAAAAGAAGAAGAAGAAGAAGCCAGAAGAGAAAGAAATTAGTCATTCAGCAGCAAAAAAGACAAAATGATAAGAAGTCATTTCTTTTTTGCTTTTTCAAGACAGGGTTTCTGTGTGTTTCCTGTCTGTCTTAGAACTCACTCTGTAGACAAGGCTGGCCTTGAACTCAAGATCCACTTGCCTCTGCCACCAGAGTTTGGGAATAAAGGTGTGCACCACCACAACCAGGCTTCTCTTTTATTTCTTAATTTAAGGGTCCTTGGGGGCTGGAAAGATGGCTGAGAGGTTAAGGGTACTGTGTGTTCTTCTAAAGGACCTGGGTTCAAATCCCAGCAACCACAAGGCAGCTTTCAACTCCAGTCTGCAACTTCAATTCCAAGTGATCTGACACCCTTATATCAATACACATAAAATAAAATTAAATAAATTACTTTTAAAAAGAGTACCTTATGTATTAGGAATATTATTAAGATGTCGAGTAGTAGTCTTTTTAAAAGGCAAGATAACTAATAATAAAAATAAAAGCAAGGGGGCTGGAGAAATGGCTCAGAGGTTAAGAGCACTGGCTGCTCTCCCAGAGGTCCTGAGCTCAACTCCCAGCGACCACATGGTAGCTCACAACCATCTATAACGAGATCTGGTGCCCTCTTCTGATGTGAAGGTATACATGCAGATATTGTATAATCAATCAATCAATCAATCAATCAATAAATGCGGAATAAGCCAGGAATCATAGCACGCAGCTGTAATCTCAGCAGCTGGAAGGAAGATCCACATGAGTTGCAAGCCAACTGGAGCTACACATCAATATTTTGCCTCAAGAAAAAAAAGTAAATTAAAAGTTACACATATATGTACACAGCAAACAACATTTTCTCCACTGTTACTTTAATCCTTTCATCATTCCAAGTGTGACTCACAAATGGCAAATCTGTTACTCTGTAGAAAGCCAAGCTTAGTGGCACACAGCTATAATCCCAGCATTTAGGTGAATGAACAGAAGAACCAAGAGTTCTTTGTTATCCTAAGCTACACAGCAGCTTCGAGACCAGCCTGGACTATAATGAGACCTTATCTCAAAAGAAACAAGTAAAAATGGAAACAAATTTTCAGTTTATCCATATTTCAACTATCATTTTTCTTGCTGTAAATGATGAGACAGTATTTTAATATAAGTAGAAATCAATGAACAACTAACCTGTGGAAACCATCTTTCAAAAATTCTTGCCTCAGAATAATTTCAGAACAAGTGGCCCTCATACCTATAAAAATAAAGATGTTAAAAATGAAAATAAGCACAGTAAAAAGAAATCTTAGATAGTTATGAAATAACTACTATAGTAGGCTTTACTGCTAGAAAGATCTAACCACCTAACAGCCCAAGGAAAAAATTGTAAATGTAAGTAGTTTGAGCTACATATAAATTTTTTTCAAGAAATGCGACATTGAGGTTGAGTATATTGCCAGGGGAGTTGGCTTGTCTGGTTTCAGATCTTAGTCCATCACTTTTAGCTGTGTCTTTGAGATACACCCAGCCATCTCTGTGGTTGTCCTAGGAATTTAAGACATGTACGAGCAGTCAGAACACAGCTACCATATTCGAAGGACTTCTTTCCTATGATCCTAAGACATCATCCTGGCTCACCAAACGGCGTTAGATACATAATGGCAACTTCTGTATTCTGATGTCCAAACCTACAAGTCCTGGAAGATTGTACACTGATGCCTTATGAAGATGTTGGGAGAGTTTAAAAGGGAGGAAAAAAAAAAAGAAGAAAAAGGGGGCGGGCAAGAAAACAAGAGGCACTTGAAGACTCGGAGTTCATTTACAAACTTGGAATAGACAGAAATCTTCACAGGGTGGCACAGAGAGGCCCTGTCTCAAATATTAAAAAATAATTAATTAATTAATTAATTAATTAATTAAGAAACAAAAAACAAAAAGAATAACTAAATATCCAGTAGCCAGGTACCTCGCTCTAAAAGGTTGGCTAGAAATGCGTGGGAAGGACATTAAAACAGTGTGAATCATTATGATAAACCTGTTACTCAGTAATGTGAAGCAAGCATGTGATGCCGGGAGAATAAACACTCGGGAGATTCTTGAGGGTCCTACCAACGGAGTAAAAGGGAAACAAGAGTTGCCGGGCGGCCTGGAAGCTGCTTAGTGAGCTCCAGAGATGCAGGTTTCGGGAGCTGGCGTAGGCTTCCCGGTGAAGCCTCCAGCTCCTAGTAAGTAACCCTTTACACACATTCCTACTAGCAACCCTAACAATAAAAAAGTCACTGGTTCCGCAAACGGGACACTGGTACAAAGGTTCCCTTTCTGGAGTGAGGAGAGAGAGAGAGAGAGAGAGAGAGAGAGAGAGAGAGAGAGAAACCACCTCGCCTTCTCTACACGCTGTTGGAGCATTCTCACACAGTTGTCGGGACGCGGAAGGCTCGATGGCCTCTCGCACAGCACAAAGCATCTTCAGGGTTACCATAAGCATCCCAAGATGCTCCGCGGCTGAGTTTGTTTAGTACTTTGGTCGCAGCGTGGCCAGTCCAGCCTCGGGAGGACAAAAGCCTGGCTCCAGAGCCCGGGATGGAACACCGAGTCACAGGGAGGGAGGGAAGGGCCGCACGCGGCCTTCGTGGCTGACCTCCGCCCCGCGCCCGCCCGCACTCCCTCAGCCCCTAGCCCTTTACCAGCGCCGAAGGGGGCGTCGAGTGAGCCCGCGGCGAGCCCGCCGACCAGCCCAGCCGCCCAGAGGAGCAGCCGGGCCACGGCGCCGGCAGCCAGGACGCCGGAACGCCGACGCCCGGGAGGGGCGCGAGGGGCGAGCTGCGGCCGCGGAGGCAGTCTGAGCACGCCCGGAGCGTGCTCTCACCCGTCCTGGTCCCAGGGATGCACCGGCCCCGGTGACTGGGAACGCGCGTCCCCCGGCGCGGGCAACTTGGGACCCAGGAGGCCCGCCCCCGGTCCCGCCCCCTGTCGTTCCAGCCTGGGCGGGGCGAGAGGCTGCGCAAGCGCAGTCTGCGTGTCCGGGATGTTGCCTTGGGAACGATCCTGGGCTGGGACCCCCGCCGGGCCTATGGACCGGGCGAGCCGCCTTAGGACCACCCTCGCCGCGCTCAGGCCCGCCTCCTGTCGGTAGCCAGCTGCATGCCGGCTGCTCCTCCTTTCTCTGAGTTCACGCCATGGTTACCCCTTTAGGCTATGGCTGCCGCCGCCTCCTGCAGCGTCAGGCTCCACGTCGCCTCAGAGTCGATTGAATGCTCCTCTATGCAATGCGGTTGGATGGAAACAACTCTCTCACGGATGTTAGGGTAAGAAGGGAGGGTACAAAGTGGCTAGGGTAGTCGGGTCTGTGCTTTGGGAATCCCGTGCCCTCGTAGGTGCTGTGGGGAACACAGTCACTTATCGCTGGTAGGAAAAGTCTATCCGTCCCGGCACAGTTAGGCCAATGTGCTGTCATTTCTCCCAGCTGCGGCATGTCTTAACAAACTTACCGAGAGTGCTGGTGCAGATCGGAAAGCTTCGAGGTCTCAAGGCGGGAAGAGTGTAATACTGCAAACACGCTATTGAGAAATAGAGCCAAAAAAAAAAAAAAAGCGGGCGCTGGTCGAGCACACCTTTAATCCCATCACTCTGGAAGCAGAGGCCAGCCTGGTCTACAGAGTGAGTTCCAGGACAGCCAAGGCTACACAGAGAAACCCTATCTCGAAACAATAATAATGATAATGATAATAAATTAAAAGAAAAACTCTATGGTCAAGACCCCACATTATTATTGCTTCTATTCACAAGTGTGGTCATTTGCTTGTGTTTGTAGACCATATAGTATGTATATTCTAGAAAGTTTACCTACATCACACTTTAGGAGGTGAACTGGGAATAGCATCTGGTCATTGACTGGGATCAAATACAGAACACAGCAATATGAGAAGCAACTCTTATGACTAACCTCATGGGAGTAAAAATTCACACATCCAACAGTAGGGCTGCAGATTATGCTTCTATATGACAAATCTACTTAGCAACCATAAAATTTGCATTTTAATTCAGGAAATCGTATGTATGTTATAAAACAAGTTGTAGTTTATATATATTCATATATGTACACATACATATAGCTAGGAAAAAATAATAGAAGTTAGGTTAATATTTTATGTTCTCTTTTTCTGTCCCTATTTTTCTATGATGAACAAATATAAATACTATTAATTTCTTAAAAATCAATGTGCCTATAGGTGTTCTCTAACAAAACTAAGTTTATGAAGATATTATTACCTTATGCTCAAAAATTTCAACATTTGCAAATCATAGTCACATTTAAGCAATTCTTATAGTTGAGTGTACTTTGCCACTGAGGGTAGAGAGGGAAAGAGAACAGAAACTATTAATCTAAAAATATCTGTTTCTTTTTTTTTTTTTTTTTTTTTTTTTTTTCTTTTGAGACACAGTTTCTTTGTGTGTAGCCTTGGCTTTCCTGGAACTCACTCTTCTGTGGACCAGGCTGGCCTCAAACTCACAGAGATCCTCCTGCCTCTGCCTCCCGAGTGCTGGGACTAAAGGTGTGCGCCACGACCGCCCGGCTAAATATCTGTGTTTCTTTTTCTTTTCTCCTCCTCTTCGTCCTCCTTCTCTTTTTTTTTTTTTTTTTTTTTTTTTTTGAGACAGGGTTTTCTCTGTATATAGCCCTAGCTGTCCTGGAACACAGTAGACCAGGCTGGCCTTGAACTCACAGAGATCTGCCTGCCTCTGCCGCTGCCTCCCAAGTGCTGGGATTAAAGTTGTGCACCACCACAGCTGGCATATCTGTGTTTCTTGTACCTGGAAAAATAATATAGTAGGACAAATAAGCTGAAATAAAAGCCATGTAAACATTACTGTTTTATTTATGGAAAGTCTGTCTATCTTATCTACCTTTTTTTTTTTTTTTTTTTACAGGCAGGGAACAGAGTTCTCAAACAGATGTCCTTAAAACTCAGGGCATGAGGCACCATGCCTGTTCAGATCTGCCATTTTTAACTGTGCTTCTAAACTATTGGTACTTCAGTTGTTAGCATCAGCTATCTGGAATCATTTTGCCCTAACTGGATAGACATCATGAGTCAGAGAAATAGTTCCCTGGCCGTTGAGTATCCAAGGCCTGGGAGCTTAAATAACAGACCAGATGATTATAATTTCAAACATTGAGAGGTATAGGGACTTAGTGCTCCTGACCCAGGAGCCAGAGACACATGGCTCTTGGATGCTATTGCTTTAGCATTTGGCAGCTAAGTGATGCTCAGCCTCCAGCAGCAGTGATTGGCAGCAGCAGACAGTATCTTCTGGAGTTACACCTCCTGTCGGCCATGAATGTTGAAACAGTCCATCCCCACAATGGCTAGTATTGTAGTTGTTGGGCCTGCAGTGTGAAAACCCTGAGCCCTTAAGGCCTGGAAGCCTCCTGAAACTCCTCAGCACCCAGGTCTCTTAGCTTCCACTGCCTCTACTCCTGTGTTTCTGCATTGGTTACTTATTCTCCATAACCTTCAATTACCTTCTTGGGGCTACGGCTGCTACCACCAGAATGGAGGCCGCTACCAGTGTGCCAGTGTTATCACGTTTTCCTTATGTTGATAGCCAGTCTGGTCTGCTAATACTAAAGATCAGAGGCTGGAAAGAAAAGTCCAAGCCTGCCTCGTGCTGTAACAAGTAACAACGCCTGGAGCAGCACAAACAGGGGGTAGCCCAGGCAACTCCAGAAGTGAGCGGCCAGATGGATGTAAGCAAGGATGTTTGCACCAGTCACAACACAACCATCCATGCAAATGAACATCGTGACATGCTGCTGAGCCACCAGGATTACTGTCCCTCTGTCCTGTGTCAAAACAGAAGGATCACTAATACTCACTGAGACCATGCTGCTTCCTAAGGCTGTGCAAGCTGGTGGGGTGCTCGGGAGAGCGGTCTTCAGCTATGGCTCTATAGGATCCTCAGAGAAGTAGAAATAAAGGAGGGAAGGAAATCTGAATCTGTCCAGTTACACGAGTAAAGGGCTGACAGTTCCCCACTCCAGGCTGCCTGGTTTAAGAGAAGGGCTTAACCATTCACAGAAAGAAGCCTCAACACAGGCTAACAATTCTAGTAACAGTTAACAGTACTTAATATTATTTAACAGTGTGTAACGGCAGTTAACTCCTGCTCCAGTGCCCCAGGATAATATATAGAAACCTTAGCTTTTATTAATACACAGCATTAAACAAGTATTACTTTTATTACATTCCAGACAGGTGCTAAGAGCTTAATGAAAATGGACACGCATCTTGCCTTCTTAGAGCAAACAGACTAACAGGGAAAATAGATGGTAAGTAAAAATAACCTCTTGATGAATAAAAGAATTGGGGGAGCGGGCAGGCAGTGGGGCACAATCCTTTACTTCCAGTACTTCCAGGAGACAGAGGCAGGAGGATCTCTGTGAGTTGAAAGCCAGCCTGGTCTACTAAGCGAGCTCTAGGACAACCAAGGTTATACACAGAGAAATCCTGTCTCAAAAAAAACCTAAAATAAATAAGTAAAGTCAGAAAGTACAAGGGGGGGGGGAGGTGTATGGATATGGTCTAGTAGACCTCTCAGAATGTTTATTTTTGTTAAAAAGTGCTGGGGATGTAGCATAGCCACTAGCGTGCTTGCCTTGAATGCATGAAGCCTGGGTTCCATTTCTAGCATCCAATAAACCAAGCTTGGTAGCCTTTGCCTGAAATTCTAACAGGGAAGCAGAGCCAGAAGGATCCGAAATTCAAGGTCATCCTCCAATACATAACAAGTTCAAGGCCAGTCTGGACTGCATGAGACACTGTCTCAAAAAAGGAAAAAGTTTTAAAAGACCATAATATGTTCTATTGACAGAGGGTGAACCAAAAATCTTTAACTGAAAAATGAAAATGATTCTGTGGACCTGCATGTCAGTTCTTGTGTTTGTAATCTCTGTTAAGAATGCAGCTCAGTAAGGGGTCCAGACCGAATGGTGTTACCTAGCTCCTGTACAAATGACCTGCATCCCTCAGATATCCAAGGAACTGAGGCTAACCTAGGCCAAACTCAACTTCCCATGTAGCCCTCGATGTCTTGAACCTCTTCAGCTAACCATACAAATCTGGGGCTAGTCTACAGCCAGATCCGCTGAGGAGAAGGGGACAGATTTGTTCAATACCTCAACTTGCTTGTCCTTTTTCAGGAAACTGTTGTACAGCCACTCCACTTGTATCAGAGTCGCTCCAGTTTACCCTGAATTATATGTGAAAATGAAATGCATTGCCAAGAAATGTGGAGTTCGGTTCCAGCCTCCAGCTATGATCTTAATTTATGAGAATGAAAACGAGGGAAAGAGCCGCCAACGTATCATGCCAGTCCGAAACTTTTCAAAGTTCTCAGGTACCCCTTGTTTTATCTTGCCTCCTGTCTTTTTCTCAATAGATTTTTTATTTCTGTGTATGTGTCTATGGGAGTGGGTATCTACACAGACCAGAAGAGGGCATTGGCTTCCCTGTAGCTGTAGTTACAAGCCCAGGAGTTGCCTGATTGGGTAGCTGAACTTGGGAACCCTGCAAGAAGAGCAAGTTGACCTAATGATTGAGCCACTTCTCCAGCCCTAAATATTCTTGCCTCCTGCCCTAAATATTCTTTTATTTTCTTTTATTTATTTTTATTTTATGTGCATTGGCGTTTTGCCTGCATAATGTCTTTGTAAGGTGTCAGATCTTGGAGTTACAGACAGGTGTGAGCTGCCATGTGGGTGCTGGGATTTGAACCCAGGTCCTCTGGAAGAACAGTCAGTGCTCTTAACTGCTGAGCCATCTCTCCAGCCCCTTAAATATTCTTAAGTCACGTAACTTCATCCAGTATGATGGCATATACCTGTAATCCAAGCAATTTAGGAAGCTAAGCTAGGAAAATTGCAAATTCAAAATGAGTATGGATAACTTGAGATGATATTGTGTCTCAAAATTAAAAAAAAAAAAAAAAGGTTGGGAGGAATGTAGATCAGTGGTGAAACACTTATGTAGCATGTGCAGGATCCTGGGTCCAGCCCACACTGAGCGTAAAAAGGACAGGAAGGCAGGGAAGGAGACAGACAGACAAACAGATACTATTTTAATTTCATGTAATGGGATGACATGTTCTTCATAGTAAAACAAGCCTGGGTTTAAATCCTGATTTTGTCAGGGACTGGCGTGTGATCTCAGTGAAACTTGTTCATAAACTTTCCATGTTAATGTTTTTATGTTGACCTGACACAAGCTAGAGTCACTTAGGAAGGGGGACTGTCAACTGAGATATGGCCCCCAACTGACCTGGGGTGAATCTTCTTGATTGATAACTGATGTGGGAGAGCCCAGCCCACTGTGGGAGGTGCCACCCCCGGGCCAGTGGTCCTGGGTGGTATTAAGAGAGCAGGCTGAGCAAGCCATAAGGGGCAACCCTAAAGCAGCATCCCGCTGTGACAAC